CACACACACACACACTCTCTCTCTCTCTCTCACACACACACACTACCATACTCAGACACTCACATGCGAATAGTCAGTGGAAGGACATACACAAATATAAGTATTATTCAAGCGCACTTGGCATTTAATCACCCATATATTAAAAAAAAAACTTGATAAAAAAATTACAAAAGAAATCTGTCTGCTCACCTCCTCTCTCTCTTTCACCACTTCCCTTTCCCACCTTCTCTTTCCCCACCTCATCCCCCACATCCCCTCCACCACCTCCCTCCTCATCTACCTCCTTTCCTAATTTCCCCTTTCTACCCCCCCCCCTCTTTCCCCACAGAGCCGGTGTACTGGCGTAACGTGGCCCATGACGAGCTACAGGAGACCCTGGGTCAGAGGAACCCTCTGGGCGTGGCCAAGAACGTGATCTTGTTCCTCGGGGACGGCATGGGCCCCACCACAGTCACGGCCGCCAGGATTCTGGGCGGACAGAAGATGAAGGGGCGGAAAGGGGAGGAGGTGAAGCTGAGCTTTGACAAGTTCCCCTTTACTGGACTCTCACGGGTGAGTGCTTCAAAGAAGGTCCGATCGATTTGGATTTAATTTTCTAGAGCGGAGGAGGGGGAATGGGTGGACAACAGTTGGCCTTTAACAATGATAATATATTCACACTTGATTACAATCATTTACAACCCCCCCCCCATCAACATTTACAATCATTTACACCCATCTGAAATATTACCAATTATATTTACCATGGCTTACAACCATTTACTTTCAAGCTTCAGCTCACCACGTAACTGCCACCTTCTGTCCCCTTCACTTACAACAAAACGGTCTATTTTTTACACCCTCACCCTGATCACTAACCATGTAAATTTCACCTTGTCTCCCCAGACCTCGTACCACGTAACCCTCACCATCCCTCCTATTCATTTACCACGTAACTTGAACCATCACCCCTCATCATTTACCACGTAACTTTCACTTCATCCGTCATCGTTTACCACGTAACCTTCACTTTCTCTCACCATCACTTAAACCCATGCCCCATAACTTTCACCATCACCCCAATCACATACCCCGTAACCTTCACCATCACCCATCATCACTTACCCCATAATCTTCACCATCACCCCTCATCATTTACCACGTAACTTTCAACATCACCTCTCATCACTTACCACGTAACTTTCAACACCCCCCGCCCCCTCATCACTTACCACGTAATCTTGATCTTCTTTCGCCATCATTTACGCCGTAACCTTCACCATCACCCTAATCACTCACCCCTTAACCTTCACCATCACCCTAATCACTCACCCCTTAACCTTCACCATCACCCTAATCACTTAATTGCCTCACAACCTCCCCCCCCCCAATCACTTATCACCACGACGCAACCTTCACCTCCTCTCCCCCAGACCTACAACGTAGACACCCAGGTCACAGACTCCGCCGCCTCCGGCACAGCGTACCTCACAGGGGTCAAGACAAACCAGGGCATGCTGGGACTGAGCGCTCACGCCACACGTGCTGACTGCGAGTCTTCCCACGGACACGATGTCCACTCTATCCTACAGTGGTCATTGGAAGCTGGTTAGTTAGTTTGTTTTAGTAACGTTTTTGGGAGCTCGCTACGGCATAAGATCCTATGAGCGCCTAGGTGTGGGGTCATCAGAGATGTCCAAACGGAGAATCAGGCTTACTCTGCTCA